CACCAACACACGCGTTCGGGTATCAAACAATAACACAGACAACCCACACGCTCGCCACGTCCACGCCAACCACATCCCAGCCCTTGGTCTGCTCCTTCAGCTCCGCCGGCCAGCACGTCCCTCCTCTTGCCGACCAGGTCCATCACGTTGCCGTTCCAGGTGTCCACGGTGTAACCCATGTACAGCTCCCCTTCGCCTCCGCCAACCCGTCCGCCTTCGTCGCCTCCGCCAGCGGCGGCCTTCTCGAGGAGCTCCGAGATTGTCCTAGCCGTGGCCGGGGACTCCACGATCACATCACCAGGACTCTCTTGGAACCCTCCAGCTTGGCGGCTGCAGGCTTGCTCTTCTTCTTCGCAGCGGCAGCAGAGGCAAAAGGCTTCTTCTTGGGCGCGTTTTTTTTGCCGTCGAAGGCCTTCTCGTAGTGGTGTTTTAGTAGATTTTGCAAGGGGGCGGTTCTGCCGGCAGTGGCGGCCATCGTTTTCGTCTCCTTCGCGCCAGCGGCAACCTTGACCTTTTTTGCAGCCGAAGCAGAAGTCGTGGACGACGCGACCGCCATGGAGGGTTGCGAAAGCACCGCCGTCCTCGTACCGCCGCCGCCTGCCGACACACATTGTAGTAACCCTCGCTGCTGTTGCTCTTGATGTTGGTGGTGGCGGTGGGTTCGGTAGCAGAGAGAGCCTCACCAAGCCGACCACAAAGACCTCGGCGCCAAGGCCCCGCCCAGGTGACGTCGGGCCGCCCACGCCGATGTCGACCCCGGGGCGATCAGGAGACATGCCAAAACCACGTTCACCCGCACGGGGGCAAAAGCGAACAACGACGTGTTCCAAGAGATGCAGCAAGCAGAGCAGCCGCGAGAACGGACAAATATGTAATGAAAACCGGCTAGCTGTCGGCGTTCTACTCTCTCTCTCTTTCTCTCTTGGTTCTACTCTCTGTGTATAACCCACAACGATGAAACAACGGCTGAGCGACCGGGAGTGCTGCCACCATGAGGCGGACGGGCTACAAATGTTGCGGGAAATTCGTGACCAACCTACAGTACATACTTCGAAGTCGCATGTTCAAATATACTCGCTGGTGACATGATTCTGGTATTGCCGGTGCTGTTGCCGTTAGCACAAAAACCGCACCATGCACATGTTGTGCATGTATGTGAACGGCACCATGTACGTCTTACGCATGTATCCGAACGGCTGCTCGACGAGTGACTACTGTGTTGAGACAAGTTTGAATCACTCGGCGGCGGCAAGCGCAGGCGGGCGGGGAGGGGGTGGTATCTAACGTAGGTATTATGTGCATGTTTCAAAGCACCACTGCAACCAGCAATGCGTCTTGCGCCTTTACGTTATCACGGTTCCTCATACACCAGCGATGGTGGTGTTCGTTCAACATATAGCCGCATCGTAAGCGGCAGAAACGGCTTGTTCGATCACAATACACAGCCGGAGCAGTTGCTGCTGCCGTATGCTTGTGCTGCATCAGTGTACATGTCGCACACATCATTCTTAGCGGTGCTCTCCATCGCACCGCCACCGCACCGCCACAACCCCGCTTTTTTTTCCAGACTCGCGATAGCAGCAGCATCGAAGGGCCCGGAGCAATCCACCCTTGCCCACTGCCCACTCCTCAACTTCCTCAAAGCGAATGCGATATGCAGCAGCAGCAGCACAGCACCCACCCTGACCGCCGTAAGACAGCTTGAAGCACGCCGGTTCGATGTACACCTACTTTACTATTGGTTGTTGGCTCTGCCGCTGCCGCTGTTTCTGACCAATACACAACACCTCCAGCAGACCTCTTTCCTTCTCCTCACAGGGGATGGAGACGTTGGCGGTCGGTTGCTGTTGTTGTGGGAAGTAACGGTACTGCTGCTCTGGCTGCTCGGGCGCATGCTGTACCCGGCGCGCAGAACGGTCCGGGGATACGTACCCCCACGCTCCACCCGACTTCGATGTACGGGGCCACCGATTAGCAATATGTGAACATGGGGCACCCAGCCACACGCACACACACGACCTTTCTCACGGCAGGTGATCAACAATCATAGCTAGGGCGCGCAAAGTCGACGTGATCCAGCTCCATCGCCCGTCCACCGCGCCTGCCAGTCGAGCGTGCTACAATACATATTGGTGAGCGAATGCGGAGAGATTTCGGGCGTTCTTCCATAACTGAACTTTTTTTTAGACGCATTCCCCAGCAGCGGCCTGGGTTCGCGCATTTGTCGTAGGCTAGTGGGACACAGCGGACGAATTTGGGAAACAGGAAGGTATGCCCCATGCACCCCAGAGACGTTCAGCGCGTCGCCTTGCAAGCTGGCAAGCAAGGGTATTCTTGCTTTGTCCCACGATTTTTTCTTTTCCGCATTGTTTTCTTCTGCCGAAGTTTGTGAAACGAGAGGGAGCATGCATTCTGCTCTGAGAAGGCGATGACCTCAAAACGCAAAGCATTGGTCAAGCTAGATGGCTGCGCCGTAATTTAGATGCTGCACAACACAGCAGCAGTTGCTGCTCGTAGCATCGCTCAAACAGCATCGCTCGAACTAGCTTGTTTGCGGCGTTGTCTGGATGCCACACAGAGCGAAAGCGCCGGTGCCAAAAGGCAGCAAAGTGTCTTCTTGTGAGATTACACGATGAGGGTGGTTCCCTGCTGGCAAATCCAGAAGTAATTTCCAACTTCAACTGTCGTTGTTGAACACGCTCTCGAAGTGCAGCAAGCAATGTGTGACTACCGTGTAGAACGGGGTGCTCCCGCACCCGACTTATGATGTACGGGGCCACGATCCACAATAATGCAACACATGCCACAACAAATGCTGCTTGCATGCATGCACACATGCACAAACGGCATTTGACCACGGCAAGCGATCGACAATCATAGCGGGGGTTTGCGTTGTACTCAAAAACGAAGGGTTCCAGCTTCACTATTGTCAAAGTACTTCAGATGTGAAAAGAGGGAATCGTCCTCGACAGACGTTGGGGAGTTTCTACTTTATGAAGGTGGTCTCCACATTACCCCCCCCTTTTTTCGAGACTTTTTCTTGTTTTCCAGGCAAGAGAAGTCTTCTTGGGGTAAATGGAACCCGACCGGCTGGCGGCGGGGCGATTCACATTCCTCACAATCTTCTGTACGTGTTTTACAGATTCGCTACGTCCGCCACGTTTACAGAAGTTCCGAGTTCGATAGCCAGTGCGTCCTCCCTTGGCCCACCCACCGTTTTTCTTTTTCCGTTTTCCGGAAGAAAATTTGGTGCCCAGCGGGGTTTGAACCCGTGTCTTTTGCAACCAAAAGCAGACACCCTGATATCTCACGTCGACGCCATTGTGAAAAGAGGGAATCGTCCTCGACAGACGTTGGGGAGTTTCTACCTTTATGAAGGTGGTCTCCACACAGATGCTGTTTTTTATGCAAATTTTTTTATGCAAATTTGTCGTTTTAGCACGTGGGGGCCCGCACAGCCGACGAATTTGCGAGACACGAAGATATGCGCAACCCCAGAGAAGTCCGCGCGTGGCCTGGCTAGGTAACTCTCCTGTGCGTCAAACCCTTTTCAACATTTCCGCCAAATCTGTATTCTTGCAAAGACTGGTACTCGAAACGTTCCGAGGACGGTGCCGACTCGATTGGTGAGATACGCAAGGGGGTGAAGAAAAAGAATTCTGACGCTGGCTCTTTTCCCATACTTTTAATCCTGTACAAAGAAAGAAAACAACCTTCTCGCCAACGTTAGGTCGTGCATTGTATTGCCATCAGTAGAGGACACCGTGAAGAGGGGTCGTGCGTGCTGGCATGTCCAGGTTTGCTACTGGAGCTGAACTATCGAAGGTCGCAGCTGTTTTTAAAAACAGTCCGAAATCTGCGCCGGAACCAAGCGGCATCCAACATTTGTCACAGCCGTGCTCACCGCCACGGACCGTAAACCCCTGAACGGAGGGGGTGTCAGCAGTTGCTAAAAGTGGCATCAGCTATGCATACTACTGTAAACCCGCGGTTCAGGAGATTGGGGTCAGTGGCGGCGAGCACGGCTGTGACAAATGTTGGATGCCGCTTCGTTCCGGCGCAGATTTCGTCGGACTGTTTTCAAAGGCTGCTGCGACCTTCGATATTTCAGCTCCAGTAGCAAACCCGAACGTGCCAGCTTGCACGACGCGTCTTCATGATGTTCCATACCGATGGCAATAGAATGCACCACCTAACCCTCAAAGCTGACCTTGTTTGAACGCCTTCCGTGTTGGCTCTTTTGACTTGAATTTAGAATGTTGTGAATTTTATCTTGATTTCGAAGGAGGCGCGTAAAGGTAGACGCGTGAAATGTATGTTTTGAGCAGCCTCTACTGCCGCCCTGTGCGAGAATCAATGATTTCTGTTTTTCACGATGCCTTCCGACTGGTCTTGTGTGTCGCTGTGCAATTGCTGGTGCTCCTGCGTTTACTCTCAAAATTAATCAATATCAATATTCTTCTTCACCCCCTGAAAGGCGAGAGAGATGGCACCGGGTGCGATCGAGCGATCGTCTTTATTTTTATATACCAGTGTTTCCTCGTCTTTTTTCGGCACCCCGGTGCCATCTCCTCGACCGGTGCCATCTCTCCGTCGTCTGCGGTACTCCGAAGCAATAAGAAGCGCACCTGTCAACCTTTCCTCGCGTCTTGTGTATATTCTTGCCGTGCCTGTACAGCAATAGATGTACTCGAACAATTCCAAGAACGATGCCGGCAATTTTGCTATAGAAGGGCACCTGTACCAACCTTCTGCTACATGTTACGGAGTTTGTCGATGGCCTTGGTTTTGCGCAACAATTATGTCAACCCTGTTACGAGGCCGCCAGATAATATGATGTTGCCTGGAGACGGGGAGAGTTGCAACAAGTTCCCATGCGCAACTTGGCTATGTGGCGCGTGCTCGAATATTTTTTGCTCGCTGACTGAACTGTCCTCTCTCGATTGCGTTTGTGCGTTGCAGTCGCCTTGGCATTGTATCTTGGTCTCCCATTGTTTACCATGGACACTGTCAAGGATCTCCTGTCGGTGGTTGGAAGGATCGAAGAGGCCATTAAGGGCGCGGATGCTGTAAAAGTGACGATGCGCACTCGGATGAAGGACTACGGTAGCGTCCTCCAAGTGCTACAAGGCTCAGCGCCCGCCATGTTCGAGAACGAGCTCATGAGGTTGCAGGATCTGTTCAGTGAAATTGAAGATCTGCACGCTAAACACACGGCCGACCCTGAGGACGGCAGACCAGCCAAAATTGCCAAGAGGGTCAACAGAGGAACCCAGCATGAGTCGATCGGGGAGGCCTTGGACGCTATAGACAGAGAGGTCGTTCGGCAGTTCACCGCCATTGCTGCAAAATCGTCCATCAACGCGGAGGCGGTGAAAATTGCGTTGGAAGAATTACGCCCTCCGAGCTTGCCGGACATGGCCGCGGTCCCCGCAGGAGCGCTTGACTTGCCCCGCAGCAGCTATGTGGAGCGAGCTGCGGTACAAGAAGTTGCCGACGGCCTCACCGGCCCGGAGGAGTCCCGTGCCCCCTACACCGTCGTCGGTATGGGTGGGGGGGGGAAGAGCGTGCTGGCCTCTGCTGTCGTTCGCAAGCCGAGCGTGAGGGAGCACTTCCGCGGCGGTATTTTCTGGGTGAGAGTGGGCAGGGGCGCGAAGAGCAGCCTCCTGGCTCTCCTCCCCCACGCCTGGTGGTGCTGGACGATGTGTGGGAACGCGAGGTCGTGGATGCGCTTGTTCCTCTGGAATTCAAGGTGCTGCTGACCACGCGTGATCGATCGGTTGTTGGTGTGCCAGCCGGAGGCTTGGAGCTGGGAGACATGACGGAGGAAGAGGCGCTGGAGTTGCTGCGGACGACGAGCGGGACTGTGGGTCAGCCTGGTGACGATGTCCGGACGAAGATGACCAAGGTGATGGATGCGCCTTGAATCTTAGATCGACAAGGTGTATCAGGGTGTGCTTGTTTTTTCCCTCATGCATGGTTTCAGACATTGGTTGTCTGCTTGAGTGCTGCCTGGAGTTGAGCTTAGCATCGGTTGGTGGCTTGATGCTGAAGTGTCACAGGTGTTTGTACGACGAACAACGCACGTCGAGGTTGGTTTGGTGTGCTTCAGTCTGCTCTGATTGCATGCCCTCCGTTCCCGGTGACGGCGAGAAAGGCATGACACCAATGACAGCTTTGATGTTAAGTGGTGCGTGCACTTGTGTTTGTCGATGGTCAACCCATGTCGTCGCTGACTATCTCCTCGTAGAGCCTTCTCTGTTTAGTCGCTTCAACTTGTAGTTTCGATGCATGTCGGAAGCGTTATCCGTGTGGTAAGGACCCTCCATAGAGCTGTTGCGCCCTGTGTACATATAAGAGTTATGCACTGCTGTCAAACACATTCATCATCGTGCTTGACTCGACTGAGCATTCAACTCCCGACGAACGCCGATCCAGGTCGTTGCACTCTGTGGACACCTACCGTTGGTGCTCGCTATCGCGGGTTCCATGTCCGTCGTGAGAGGGAAAGGCTTGACCGCCGTCGCCTGGGAAGAGCTGGCCAAAGAGTTGGAGAACGTGGCCAAGAAAATGCGAGCTCGGAGCGAGCAGTCATCGTCTATCAAAGTGGTCCTTGAGACCAGTTTTGACTCGTTGGCAGTGCGGAAGCAAGAAGAGTTCCTGAAGATGGCTGTGTTGGCCGCGGGTGCTCTTGCACCGATCAAGATGCTGCGCAATCTGTGGGAGATAGAGGTACGTTGGGGCGTTCCTTTTACCAGGTAGTTGGAAGTCTCGAAACGGTTTGCAAATCTTATGTCTGTTATAGATGTACGGGAAGGTTTAGTGGGTTGTGCGGCAGAGAGGAGTGAATATGCCCTAGTTTCTACGGTCTTCGAAGTGTGCCGCATGTTGACCCCAGTTCATGTCTTCCCGGTGTTTCGTGTATCTGCAGGACGCTGAGGGTACGCGAGACGAAGCTGAGGGTCTGGTTAGCAAATGCCTTCTACACGCTGTGGGAGGTGGTGGGTACCGTGTGCACGACCTGGTCCTGGAGTTTGCGAAGACTAGCATCAGGGCAGAGGAGGAGACGATGAAAAAGGCCACAGCGCTGCAGGCGCAGTACCTCGGCAGACTGGACGTGCTCGAGAGTTACCGAGACTCGGAGCACGGCGCTGGACACCAAGGCCTTTTCTGTTTGGATGCCCTCTGGCGCTCGGTGGAGAAGCTCTCGGGGGACCCTGAGCTGGAGGTTGCCTCGTATGGCACCAGCCTCGGGGAGTTGGAGTCAGGCGAGGCGACGGAAGCCGTGGGGACATCCTACTGTTCTGTAGGTTTCTTGTTCAACATCCAGGTACGGCAGCATGTTTTTCTGGGGAATTCTGCACTGTTCGGAGGGTGCTCGTTGTCTAGTGTAGTACAAGGGCGCTTCGCGGACGACCGCTTTCATCGGTCGCCGCTACGCTATTTGTTCTGTATGATGTCGAATGTGTGCGGGTTGAGTTTCGAGATTAGAGCGAAAATGTGTAGTTAGGGTCTCGGCGCAATAAGTGCGTGATGACGCTCGCGTGCTCTTGTCGAGAGCGTTTCTGCACGCAGGAATGACTGAAAGATTGCTTGTATTCATTAAAGAGTGAGACATGGGCAAGGGAAGGAAAAGCGCGTCAAGTCCATCACACCCGTCAGATCTACGTAACCTCCGGAGATGTATGATGTAGCGTCGCTGTACATGGTGCGGTTGGAAATATTGTTCCGTCTTGACAAAACGTTTGTTTTTCGCAAGGCGTTCGATGGCAAACGTGCTCGCAACTCTAGTTCTTCGTTCAATCTTTCGATTGTCGTCGACGCTACCCCTTCCCACCAACTGGCAAACGAGTGAGCGTCTTGTTTTGAAGAAGAGGAAGGAGCGTCATGTTCTCCAGATAGCATGTGGCCGTCGTTCTTGCTGAGAGAGGACTGGTCAGAATTTGTCCACCCATGTTTGTTCTTTTCCCTTCTGGGTGAACCACTGCCCTCAACACAACCCACTGCTCTTCGTTCAGGGCAAGTACGCGGAGGCCGAACCACTCTATGAGAGGTCACGGGCCATACAGGAGAAAGTCTTGGGTCCGGAGCATCCTCATGTGGCTACGTCGCTCAACAACCGGGCATTGTTGTTGGAGAGCCAGGTGCGGCACAAACGATGCTTGTAGAAGAGAATGAGCTCCGCTGTTCTACCCAGAGCTATGTGGATTTCACTGAATTCTGATTGTATGCCGTGCTCTTGACCACTTACCGTAAGGATGCGAAAGATGGTACCAGGTGCGATCGACACTGTACTGTTTTCTTCTAGTCTTTTTTTTCCCGAACGCCGATACCATCTCCCCGACCGGTGACGTTTTTTTACACCTGCGCGGAAATTGATTCATTTCACGTAACTTTTTCAAGGCACCATAGTCCCCGGTGCCATCTCCCGCACTACTACGGTATTCCGAACAATAGGCTTTTCGTTACAGTGTGCAAACAGATGTATACATCGTACGGTACAGGAACCACACACGGCAGCCAAAGCAGCAGTCGTTTATTGTGATGGGGACTCCACCAATGTTGCCGGCTGGCTTAGCGGCTGAGGATTCTGGTAGGCAGCAGGCAGTGGTCATGGGATGTACTTCGAGTTGGCTTTGGTGTACCCCATGTAGAGGTAATTTGTGACTATTGTGTTGCGTGTTTTTGGTTGAGCGACAAATCCTTACCGACGATTGTTAAATTATGCAACAGACTGTTTACCGTGTGGACTACGACCGTACATGAACGAGTGTTGCTCCGATGATTCCGACACCACATGCATGTAAAAGATGGCCAGGTACCTCATTACAGCAGGTCAAAAGGTGGCCTGGGACCATTTGCAGAGCAATCTATCATGTTGTTCCTCAAGGGGCCCTGCATGTAAAACTCTTGGATCACCCTTACGTTACGTGTCAATACTGGTCGCGCGGAGGGGTGTGGGAGAGGCCTTATATGTCCCCGGGGGGGAACTTTTGACCAAATCCCCGTGGTTTCCAGGGTTGTTCACGGTTCGAAGCGGTTAGGAGCGTGAGATTTCCCTTGAGGAAACCGCTCCGCTCCTTGACATGAACAAAGAAACCGCTCCTCTCCGTGGGAATCATAACTCGGATAAACCGCTTCGCCGTGCTCCGTGATATTTTGAATTGAAACAATCCGCTCCGCTCCGAACCGTGAAATGTCAAAATTGAAAAAACCTCAGGGTTGCTCACGGCTCGTTTTTTTTCCACGGTTCGGAGCGGGTTTTAACCGAACCGCTCCGAACCGTGAGATTTTCCATTGAGAAAAACCGTCCGCTCCGTGAGATTGTAGCCTTAGATAGACCGCCCCGCCCCGCTCCGTGAGATTTTTTGGGGAAAAAAACAGGTACGCTCCGAACCGTGAAATTTCACAAATGAAAAACCGCTCCTCGGTTCGGTCATAAACCGTGAACAACCCTGGTGGTTTCGGCATTTTTCGCGCGCGTTTTTTACCGCGTGCGAGATCCCACACAGCGCTGTAGTGGGAATTTCGAAACACTCCCCATGGGGTTCCTGCGGCCCCCCCCTCGGTGTTTGCCTTCGGGATTGGGTTTTCGTCGCATGGCAACGACGTTGTAAAGCAAGCCAATTCACTTCGTGAACTCGGCAACCAGGTTACCGTTTTTTTTTTTTTATTACCTCTTTTTTTTTTGCGGTAACCGCAATGGTGGTCGAGTAGATCATGTTGTGCGGGGTCGAGAACCCTCACTCCGCGCAAACGTGGTGATCGCACCACGTTGTGTTAAAATGGTCAAGCATCCTCGAGGCAGTTACACCGTGCTTATAACTTTCTCTGGAAGTGAAAGCACCAGAAAATAAATTAAGTCATACGCAGCTGTCATCCGTACGCAAGGAAGTAAGCACAAGATGTCGAACATCCTTAGCAGGATGCAGCTCACCCTTCATGCGACTCGCCAAATACCTCACGACACTTCGCGCTTGGTGTTGTGAGAGCCTGGTCCGGTGAGAACCCGGCGTGCTCCGTCCCGGCTTTGTAGGGATGCGAGGTCAGTGGTCTAACGACTACGGCATGCACGACTATGAGTACACCCCCCCCCCCCCTCCCCCCTTCGGGGTTGGGTTTTCGTCGCTTGGCAACGACGATGTAAAACATGCGGCCGCCCCCGGTGTTTGCCATCGGGATTGCGTTTCCGTCGCATGGCAACGACGTTGTAAAGCAAGCCAATTCACTTCGTGAACTCGGCAACCAGGTTACCGGTTTTTTTTTTTACCTCTGTTTTTTTTTGTGGTAACCGCAATGGTGGTCGAGTAGATCATGTTGTGCGGGGTCGAGAACCCTCACTCTGCGCAAACGGGGTAATCGCACCACGTTGTGTTAAAATGGTCAAGCATCCTCGAGGCAGTTACACAGTGCGTACAACTGTCTCTGGAAGTGAAAGCACCAGAAAATAAATTAAGTCATACGCAGCTGTCATCCGTACGCAAGGAAGTAAGCACAAGATGCCGAACACCCTTAGCAGGATGCAGCTCACCCTTCATGCGACTCGCCAAATACCTCACGGCACTTCGCGCTTGGTGTTGTGAGAGCCTGGTCCGGTGAGAACCCGGCGTGCTCCGTCCCGGCTTTGTAGGGATGCGAGGTCAATGGTCTAACGACTACGGCATGCACGACTATGAGTACACCCCCCCCCCCCCCCCCCCCCAAAAGGGACCCCCCGCAAAGGGCCCCCAAG